CACAATTTAGTAAATTTTTATTGCGGTATAAAAACTATGTTATAAAATGATTTTGTTTTAATTTTAATTTGTAAGTACTATCCACACAATACACAATGCGGTCGGTTAGGTGCTGTTCACATCAGATTATTCTGTTTTGTCATTAAATTGAAATAGATGATAAATGGCGGCATAATCTGTTGGAATTTTCTAATATTACTGAAAATTTTTGAGGGTATTCACTCTAATACACTGCTTTTACATTTTTTTTTCAACAATTTAAAAAGAAAATCGATAGCTTTTTCTCGAAATTTAAAAAAAAGAAATTTAATATGAATAATATTCAAATAAAAATTATCCAATGGTCACAGAATCCATTCAAATTTTATAGGATTCCATTAATCAGCACAAAAAATTTTGTACGGCGTTTTTTTTTGCGTTCACCTTCATGTATCATGAGTAAAAAACAATAAAACTGAATTATTATTGAAGTAAACAATCGTGTAGAAAAAAATAATAAGAAAAGTTGTAAAGAGTTAACGCATATAATAGGAACCAATAGGAAAAGATATGTTCACTTAAAAAAAAAGTTAATTGGAAAATCTATTGTGTTAGCGATGAACAACAAATTGGGGAAGAAGTGATTGAGAACATTGCAATATTTGATAGAGATATGTCAATATAGTACGAGAGGATTGAAACAATAAAAATAAGGGTTTAAAGATGTGGGTGAAAATGTGGAAGTCAGTATTATACCAATGACTTTAAAAATAATTTTAAAGTCTTTGATTATACATACTTAACTAGAGTTACTTAGCACGTATTATTTTTTTTTTATTGTATCCTAATTCTTATTTGTACTGTATTAACCGCGTAATAAGTACAGATTTTATTATACCTGCCAATTAGAAATATTTAGCACATGTTAAGTTGTATTAGCTATAAATTGCGATTGTCATTGCTACTACTATAGCTGATTATATTTTGTGTTATACAAACTTATTTTGAATTACCTAGCGCGTGTTAATACCATACGACTTTGTACTGTAAATTGATTAAAGAATCATCCCTTATTATAAAAGAATTCATCCAATGTTTTTGTCGTTTTGGTAAATTAGTTTTTTTTCACGGCTGAAAACTCATCATCAAGTATATTAAATAAATAATTCTTTATTATCTAGACAACAGTTAAATAACATTAATATAAACAACAGTCTTAAGAAGAAAATTTATTTATAATTAAATAAAATTTATATTTTGAAATATAACTGTAATGTCTGAAATTTATAACAGATTAACATACAAGGCAGACTTCTCTATAATCAGGAATCAAGATTAAAGGCCATTATATTTAATATACAATTATATAATGGAATGGGGATTTTAAGATGTCGGCGTAAATTTAAATAATGTTAAGAAAGTTGTATCTACAGAAATAGAAGTTCCTGAGGTTACATTGAATGTGGTATAAAAGTGGATTTGTCAAATTAAGATCATAGTATTATGCTAATAGAGGAATTAACTTTGTATGCTTTTTTTTCTTCGAGTTAACATTAATGACTAATAATAAGGAGACAAAGGTTGGCAGGGGTCCTAATCGGTTTCACATTTTCTAAACATGTCAAGCTGTAAATGTTAGGAAATGACCTCTGGAAACATCAGTTCTACCAACAAATCCGACTCTCACTTCCCAGAAGGTAGGTAACATAGTTATCTACCGGGTTTCCTACCGCTTAATCCGGGTTTCGTTGGTTAGGAAGCGAACGGGCGGTAAATCCAGAAGCGTCTAACCTAGAACTGGCTGTTCCCTGGTCTGCGTCTGATCCCTGAGGGATGGCAGTTTTTGAACCCTGGCAGGAAGCATCAAATGCAAACATGAATCATTTGTGCAATGGAGAAAACAAGAGATTCCTCTTCGGAGGTCGGCTCTACGGATTCTGGGGAGAGCCATTTATTGCATTTGATTGATCCGTTCAAGAGGAGCGCGAAAACTAGGCGTTCACCACCTACATCTGATGTGCGGATTTTAGAAAAGAATAAAAATATAGAAGGTGGACTACCGAACACTCAAGCTCCACAGACCAATAAGGATATAAACATGAGTAAAGCTCAAGCCAAAAAAAGTGATGATCAGAATGCTGACATACATAAAAGGATTAGCCAACTAGAACAGCTCCGTGTGGCTTTGAAAAACGAGGTTCTTCAACTGAGGGCTGAGAATGAGAAGCTAAAGAAAGAGAAACATGTGCCAATTACAAAAAAATAAGTCTAATGATAGTAGTCATAAAGAAAAAGACGCTGCACCAAAAGCAAAGCAGGTGAAGTCAATCTTGGACGCCTACTGAACAGGTGAGGAAGAACTCGCTAGAGCAACAGATTGGATCCTAAAGCAAAAGAGGTTCAGTAAAAAAAGAAAATCGGAATCATCTCCGGAAATGGTTCCGGAAAGCGGAAAAACTCTAGACCGCCTCCAGTAGTCATAAGTAATGTGGTTGACCATAATCAAATAGAGTCCACATTAAAAAATAAGGACATCAATTATAGGGTTAAAATGATGAATAACAATCACTTTAAGCTTATTGTAAATTCCGAAATGGACTACAGGAATCTTACCAGGGCCATGAATGGATCTGGACTAGAATGGCATACCTATGAAAACAAGCAGGCCAAACCAATAAAAGTCATGGTAAGAAATCTTCACCCCAGTTGTAAACCGGAAGATATAAAAGAGGACTTAAGCTCTAGGGGTTACAAGATCTTAGATGTAACCAAAAAAATAAAAAAAATAAAAGAAAATAGGAAAAACATTATGGTGCCTCTACCGCTGTTTATGTTAACATTCTCAAATGACGAGGAGATGAAAAAAATTTATGAAATCGATCACATAAACAAGACGAAAGTGAGAATAGAGGGGATGCCTTGTAGTTAAGGAACTACAAAAACGTAGAAATAAGAACAGCAACACCAACTTGAAGGAGAATTCTGAACGGCCACAGAGGCAATTCGCCTCGAGAATGGTCTCAAAAGATGTAACATACAGGGACGTTCTCCAAACGAAAACTGATGACGGTGGCACGAGCAATAAAGCAAGGACCAGTGACGTGAATGTTTTGTATAAAATGCAAAATATGATGCAGAACATGCTAGATATGACGGACAAAATCTCTCAGAGATTGAGCATTTTAGAGACCGAAGGGAAAAAATCGAGTATCAAAAGACCTGGTAAATGATGGCACGAGGTAATTTTAAAATAGCAACATGGAATTGCAATGGTATTGCAAATAAAAAGGACATGCTTGAAGTTTTTCTACATACACAGAATATATGACCTTAAGAAGCAGGATTCGATAGAATTTACAACTCGAACCACTCTGGAAATATAGCGAAGGGCGGAACAGCGATAAAAATAAAAGAAAATATAGTGCATTGCGATCTGTACCAGATGCAAACCGAGTGAATGCAAATGACGACAGTTCAGATTACTTCAATTAAGCAAAAATTTAGAATAGTTGCATTATATTGTCACCCCAGATTTAAAATTACGGCGGAAATGTTTCAAAACGTTCTGACAGACCTAGGCGATAGATTTATATGGGGGGGTGACTTTAACGCCAAGCATACTGATTGGGGTTCAGGGCATACTTCAACAAGAGAAGAGAACTTAGGAGAGCAATTGGCGGCACGGGGTACCTTTTTCACTCTACTGTGAAGCCAACGTATTGGCCAACAGATGTTAATAAGTGTTCAGATTTAATAGATTTCTTCATAACAAAACGGATTGCGAAAAATTTCATCGAGGTACATGATAACTATGATCTTAACTCCGATCATTCGGTGGTTATTCTTAAACTTTAGGAAAATATAGTTATGAAAAGAGCGAAACCTGCGCTGACAAATGGAGCTACAGATTGGTCGAGATTTCGCTTAGAGATTGAACGACAAATAGATCTAAGGAAAAGAATAAGAAAAACCCAGCACATAGATGAGGAGGCCGCAAATTATAGTAAAATTATTCAAAATGCGGCATGGAGTAGTTCGAAAATTAATGCTGTTAGAAGGGTTGGCATTAACTATCCCCCACATATACTAGTAAAAGTAAGACGGAGTAGTTCGAAAATTAATGCTATTAGAAGGGTTGGCATTAACTATCCTCCACATGTACTAGCAAAAGTAAGACAAAGCAGGATGATGAGGAAGAGCTGGCACCAAACGCCAGTCATGTATAAGCATAATGTAGATAACAGCTACATTATACCTCCAACATAACAAACAACATACCTGATAACATTATTATTAATCAGAGTCCAAACAAGGATAAACAAAACAGTAGATTATGTTTGAACATGTTAAGAAATGATTAAGAGATATTTTTATTATTCTGTTTTTAATAAATATCAGTAACTAGGTAAAAATGAACAAACAAGATAATAGAATGTAAAAAAAAAAAAAAGACAAAAGAAGAATTCCTTAATAAAATAAGTTAAATGGGGTATATGATAAGTGCTATCAAGAGTCAATATGGCAAAATAGCAAAACATGTTTATTCTTGATAGTGGTAAAAATATTAAAAAAGTAATTAGGACAAAGAAGAATGTCTTTGTCTGATAATTAGTTTTTGTTAAACAAAATTCTGATAAAATATCTGTTTGAGATGTTCAAAGAAAATATTATCTGAAAAACAGATTTAAGTAACAAAGATTCAATAGTATAAATAGAGAGGAAAAATAGTTTTAAGTTCAGTTCATATTTGATAGTCGGTACGACAAGTTCCAAATTGTTAATCTTTAATTGTAATTTCCGTTATTAAATAAATAAATAAAAAATGAAAAACAAAGTAAAATTGTTTTTTTTTTTTTAAATTAAGCCCGAGCTTAATTATTTAATTGGCGCAACGAGGAAACGAGGAAATAAACTATTCCAGAAACAAGCATCAAGCAGCAACGAGGAAATAAAAAAAGTTATTCCAGAAACAAGCATCAAGCAGCAACGAGGATATAACGATTCCAGAAACAAGCAGTAAAATGGACCAGGAAATACAACTACTAAAAGAAGAAATAAAACAATTGAAGGAACTGATTGGACGACAACAAAAGAACTCCGTTTTCACAGCAACAGAGTGTACGACAACACTCAGGACACCAACGCTTGTTATTTTCCAAACCACAAGGCAAATAACCAATAACAACAACAATAACACCAATAGCAACAACGTTAACAACAATAACAGTAACAATAAAAATAACAACAACAATAACACCAATAGTAACATCAATAACAAAAACGTTAACAACAATAACAGTAACAATAAAAATAACAACAACAAGGAAAACAACATCAATAGCAACATCATTAATAATAACGTTAAAAACATCAACAAAAATAACAGTAAAAATAACAACAACAACAAGGAAAGCAACAGCAACAAAAACAACGGTAATAATAAAAACAACAAAAACAACAGTTTCGATAGTAGCAACTACAACGATAACAACATAGATAACAATAAAAATAGAAACAACAACATCGATATGAATAACATCAATGAAAACAATATTTTTAAAAATAATAATAACAGTCAACAACGACAACAAAAGCAACAGCGAGAAAAACGGCATTAACGAAATCAATAACAAAATCAACAGCAACAAGAGCTACAAAAACAACATTGTAAACAGTATAAACAACAATAATAACAGTAACAACAACATAATTAATAACGAGATAATAGAAATAAGTAGCGACGAAGAGATCGAGTCTTACGAGGTAAACATCCCCGAGAAAGTACCAGTAAAGAAGACAAGAAGAAAACCTGGACAAAAGAGGATATACCCAATATCAACGGTTTGGACAGAACCAGAAACAATAAAAAGAAGAAAAAAGTATGGTCACATTAACTTACAATAGATAATAGAATAATAAATATTATAGTAGTTTTTTTTAAATATATGTATATATAAATATGACTCTGTGATCAAGCCTTTTTTCGTCGGAACAATTATCTAAAATATATGTTAAAAATATATAAAATTTAAATAAATTAATTGAAAATAAAATTTAAATAAAAGAAATGGAAAGATCAATATCATGGAAAGATGGATAGAAATACATTAAAATTAAATAAGTTATTCTTGAAGCTTATCCAATGTCAGGAAACCCTAGAATACAGTCGGGCCAACATTGCCATAACAGACAGATTTTAGGCAAAGACGGAGGGCTAAAAGAGTAAAATGAAAAGAAAGGAATATACCATAAGTCAGGAAACCCTAGACACAATACGGGCCAATATCGCCTTTTGTAATGGGATTAAGATAGGCAAAGACGGGTATAATTCTAGAAGAAAAATTATATTAATAAATAAAAATAAAAAGAAGTTACGAATTAAAAATATGTATTCAATTTCAATAATCTTCGGCGAAAGAAAAATTTGTTAATTCATATAAAAATTAAAGAAGATACACCTAATGATCAAATAAGATTATAATTACAAATAACAAAGTAAAATTGTTTTAAAAAGAGTGGCTAACGCAGAGTTCCAAAATTACTCGTAGATACAAACTCTGAAAACATAAAAAGGTGTGAAGGAAGACTGGTGAGAAATTAAATCAAAATCTTACAATTTTATATTGGAGATTAAAAGGATTAATAATCACAAAAAGAAACAGTTTTTCCAATTAAAATATATAAAAAGATCAATAGATTTAAATAACGCTAAAGAAATGACGCAAGACGACGTTAGATAAAATTTTTGAATTAAATGAATTAGGTCATATAATAGAAATTATTAGAAAAAGAAGATTTGAAGATAGTTGCATTAGAAATAAATATAAAAAGAATTTACAAATCATAGAAATTCACCTAATTTTAATTCGGGCCAAAATCGCCAAAAACATCAACAGAACTTTAATAGGTATAATAATAGAATTGAAAAAATTAATAAAAGAAATAAAATATTTGGTTAGGTTTAAATATTGTATTGAAAAGCAAGTTTAATGATAAATAATAAAGAAAATTTTCAATCCTAAAATAAATAAACACAAATTTCACAGATCAATTGTGAGAGTTTTGTAATAATTCTTAAAGCAAATTCAAATAAATCAGGAATTTAATAATAACAAAGAAATTATAAAAGAAAGATAAATTAACATTCAAAGAATTTGTAATAAAATATGAAGACATGTAAAATAAAATAAAAGAAGAAAATTATGATAAGAAATTTGAAATAGAATAGGGTAGATGAATTTAATATACGGACATAGACACGGACATTGAGACAAACAATAAACAAAAGTAACACTGACTAAAGGACAGTTCATTATATATATATGAAATACCTATATAACATAATTTTTTAGACAATATTAAAAAGCATTAAATTTTTTAAACAGAAAAAATTAAAGAAATTTTTTATGTATATGTTAATGGTATTAACAATTAATAACTATTTTGTTTGTAAAAGTTTTTTTTATATGAAGTTTGGGGTCAATTGGCCGATATATTCTGTACGTATGACAATCAAGGCGTGCATGAAAATGAGGAATCTGCTTTTGCTGGGTATAGGGTGACTATTCCAATTGTCAAAGATGTTATAGAGGAAATCAGGACTCTCAAATCTAAAAAAGCTCTAAGGCTTTGACCTAATAACGGCCGATATTTTAAAAAAAATTACCCAAAAGGGGTATAACGTTGCTTACGCGCCTAATAAATGCGTGTATAAGATTTCATTACGTGCCTGATATTTGGAAAGTTACAGAGATAATTATGCTGCACAAACCTGGCAAACTTATAGACAAGGCGACTTCTAATTAACCAAATTTGTTGCCGATGATTTCAAAACTGCTAGAGAAACTTTTTTTGAGAAGGCTTCAGCCAATAATTGAAAGCAAAAAGTTAATCCCGAATTATCAATTTGGTTTTCGCCAGAATCACTACGTCTAAAAATCGATATATTCTATCATATTTTTAGACGTAGCCCAGGTCTTCGATAAGGTTTGGCATTGTGGATTAATAAAAAAACTTAGACAATTACTACCAAGCCAGTATGTTGACCTGCTCGAATCTTACCTACCTAACAGGGTATTTCGATTAAGCAGGAAAAGGAGTACTCTTCGCTTAGGGATATCAGATCGGGGGGACCACAAGGGAGTATATTGGGCCCGATATTATACTTGTTATACACGTGTTATACACGTATTCCTGAATCGGAAGGAGTGACCACAGCCACATTTGCTGATGATACAGCAGTTACCGCAATAGGACGAAATGAAAATGAATCTACACAAAAATTACAAAAGGCAAGTGATGAGATCTCAAAGTGGACTAGAAAGTGGAATATAAAACCAAACGAGGTAAAGTGAGTACACGTTAATTTCACTAACAGGAAAATTGATAACTCATTTTCGGTTCGGATAAATGGCGTCTTAATTCCGTTTGCAAATACGGCGAAGTATTTGGGAATGACATTCGACGCAAAGCTCAGATGGAAGGAGCACATAATGAAAAAGAGACCTCAACTCGACGAGGAATACAGGAAGTTTAAATAACTAGTGGAAAGGCGTTCTTCGTTATCAATATACAATAAAATTTGGATATATAATCAAATACTAAAGCCTGCCGGCTCTCGGCTCCATGTTATCTAGGATTCTCCCAGAAGGCTAAAGAGGACTTTGCATTCTGATTTTGCGAAAAATGCGCTGAATCTCTTTCAATCTTAAAACTAAATTGGATGAAATATAATCATTTTAAAAATTAGGTAAGTTATGGATTTATATAACGATTCCAGAAACAAGCAGTAAAATAGACCAGGAAATACAACTACTAAAAGAAGAAATAAAACAATTGAAGGAACTGATGGGACGACAACAAAAGAACTCCGTTTTCACAGCAACAGAGTGTACGACAACACTCAGGACACCAACGCTTGTTATTTTCCAAACCACAAGGCAAATAACCAATAACAACAACAATAACACCAATAGCAACAACGTTAACAACAATAACAGTAACAATAAAAATAACAACAACAATAACACCAATAGTAACATCAATAACAAAAACGTTAACAACAATAACAGTAACAATAAAAATAACAACAACAAGGAAAGCAACACCAATAGCAACATCATTAATAATAACGTTAACAACATCAACAAAAATAACAGTAAAAATAACAACAACAACAAGGAAAGCAACAGCAACAAAAACAACGGTAATAATAAAAACAACAAAAACAACAGTTTCGATAGTAGCAACTACAACGATAACAACATAGATAACAATAAAAATAGAAACAAAAACATCGATATGAATAACATCAATGAAAACAATATTTTTAAAAATAATAATAACAGTAACATCAACAACGACAACAAAAGCAACAGCGAGAAAAACGGCATTAACGAAATCAATAACAAAATCAACAGCAACAAGAGCTACAAAAACAACATTGTAAACAGTATAAACAACAATAATAACAGTAACAACAACATAATTAATAACGAGATAATAGAAATAAGTAGCGACGAAGAGATCGAGTTTTACGAGGTAAACATCCCCGAGAAAGTACCAGTAAAGAAGACAAGAAGAAAACCTGGACAAAAGAGGATATACCCAATATCAACGGTTTGGACAGAACCAGAAACAATAAAAAGAAGAAAAAAGTATGGTCACATTAACTTACAATAGATAATAGAATAATAAATATTATAGTAGTTTTTTTTAAATATATGTATATATAAATATGACTCTGTGATCAAGCCTTTTTTCGTCGGAACAATTATCTAAAATATATGTTAAAAATATATAAAATTTAAATAAATTAATTGAAAACAAAATTTAAATAAAAGAAATGGAAACATCAATATCATGGAAAGATGGATAGAAATACATTAAAATTAAATAAGTTATTCTTGAAGCTTATCCAATGTCAGGAAACCCTAGAATACAGTCGGGCCAACATTGCCATAACAGACAGATTTTAGGCAAAGACGGAGGGCTAAAAGAGTAAAATGAAAAGAAAGGAATATACCATAAGTCAGGAAACCCTAGACACAATACGGGCCAATATCGCCTTTTGTAATGGGATTAAGATAGGCAAAGACGGGTATAATTCTAGAAGAAAAATTATATTAATAAATAAAAATAAAAAGAAGTTACGAATTAAAAATATGTATTCAATTTCAATAATCTTCGGCGAAAGAAAAATTTGTTAATTCATATAAAAATTAAAGAAGATACACCTAATGATCAAATAAGATTATAATTACAAATAACAAAGTAAAATTGTTTTAAAAAGAGTGGCTAACGCAGAGTTCCAAAATTACTCGTAGATACAAACTCTGAAAACATATAAAGGTGTGAAGGAAGACTGGTGAGAAATTAAATCAAAATCTTACAATTTTATATTGGAGATTAAAAGGATTAATAATCACAAAAAGAAACAGTTTTTCCAATTAAAATATATAAAAAGATCAATAGATTTAAATAACGCTAAAGAAATGACGCAAGACGACGTTAGATAAAATTTTTGAATTAAATGAATTAGGTCATATAATAGAAATTATTAGAAAAAGAAGATTTGAAGATAGTTGCATTAGAAATAAATATAAAAAGAATTTACAAATCATAGAAATTCACCTAATTTTAATTCGGGCCAAAATCGCCAAAAACATCAACAGAACTTTAATAGGTATAATAATAGAATTGAAAAAATTAATAAAAGAAATAAAATATTTGGTTAGGTTTAAATATTGTATGGAAAAGCAAGTTTAATGATAAATAATAAAGAAAATTTTCAATCCTAAAATAAATAAACACAAATTTCACAGATCAATTGTGAGAGTTTTGTAATAATTCTTAAAGTAAATTCAAATAAATCAGGAATTTAATAATAACAAAGAAATTATAAAAGAAAGATAAATTAACATTCAAAGAATTTGTAATAAAATATGAAGACATGTAAAATAAAATAAAAGAAGAAAATTATGATAAGAAATTTGAAATAGAATAGGGTAGATGAATTTAATATACGGACATAGACACGGACATTGAGACAAACAATAAACAAAAGTAACACTGACTAAAGGACAGTTCATTATATGTATATACATGAAATACCTATATAACATAATTTTTTAGACAATATTAAAAAGCATTAAATTTTTTAAACAAAAAAAATTAAAGAAATTTTTTATGTATATGTTAATGGTATTAACAATCAATAACTATTTGGTTTGTAAAAGTACTTAAAATTTTATTTTATATGAAGTTTGGGGTCAATTGGCCGATATATTCTGTACGTATGACAATCAAGGCGTGCATGAAAATGAGGAATCTGCTTTTGCTTCGTATAGGGTGACTATTCCAATTGTCAAAGATGTTATAGAGGAAATCAGGACTCTCAAATCTAAAAAAGCTCCAAGGCTTTGACCTAATAACGGCCGATATTTTTAAAAAAATTACCCAAAAGGGGTATAACGTTGCTTACGCGCCTAATAAATGCGTGTATAAGATTTCATTACGTGCCTGATATTTGGAAAGTTACGGAGATTATTAATGCTGCACAAACCTGGCAAACTTATAGACAAGGCGACTTCTAATTAACCAAATTTGTGTCCGATGATTTCAAAACTGCTAGAGAAACTTTTTTTGAGAAGGCTTCAGCCAATAATTGAAAGCAAAAAGTTAATCCCGAATTATCAATTTGGTTTTCGCCAGAATCACTACGTCTAAAAATCGATATATTCTATCATATTTTTAGACGTAGCCCAGGTCTTCGATAAGGTTTGGCATTGTGGATTAATAAAAAAACTTAGACAATTACTACCAAGCCAGTATGTTGACCTGCTCGAATCTTACCTGCCTAACAGGGTATTTCGATTAAGCAGGAAAAGGAGTACTCTTCGCTTAGGGATATCAGATCGGGGGGACCACAAGGGAGTATATTGGGCCCGATATTATACTTGTTATACACGTGTTATACACGTATTCCTGAATCGGAAGGAGTGACCACAGCCACATTTGCTGATGATACAGCAGTTACCGCAATAGGACGAAATGAAAATGAATCTACACAAAAATTACAAAAGGCAAGTGATGAGATCTCAAAGTGGACTAGAAAGTGGAATATAAAACCAAACGAGGTAAAGTGAGTACACGTTAATTTCACTAACAGGAAAATTGATAACTCATTTTCGGTTCGGATAAATGGCGTCTTAATTCCGTTTGCAAATACGGCGAAGTATTTGGGAATGACATTCGACGCAAAGCTCAGATGGAAGGAGCACATAATGAAAAAGAGACCTCAACTCGACGAGGAATACAGGAAGTTTAAATAACTAGTGGAAAGGCGTTCTTCGTTATCAATATACAATAAAATTTGGATATATAATCAAATACTAAAGCCTGCCGGCTCTCGGCTCCATGTTATCTAGGATTCTCCCAGAAGGCTAAAGAGGACTTTGCATTCTGATTTTGCGAAAAATGCGCTGAATCTCTTTCAATCTTAAAACTAAATTGGATGAAATATAATCATTTTAAAAATTAGGTAAGTTATGGATTTATAATTAAAATCACGTAAAACAATATTCCAATTACTCCTCCAACTTTAACGTAAAATTTATTCTTGTATTGATGATAGTTCTGCCTCTATGTTAGATGACAAATTCAAAATCCAAATATATATATAATAAATTATAGATGCATTTGCATATAAAGAAATATGATGTTTCTTTTCATTTCGGTTATAGGTAGGTGACTGTCTAGTATCTCGTTTATTAAATTCTAAGTCAGTCATGCATTTAAAGTTATTCCTTATTAATACCATTGCTTGTGATATGTTCAAGTCAATTTTCTGTAACGAAATTAATTAAAGTATGAAAGTTTGTTAATAACAAAATTTATTAATGATTTCAATACGAAAAAATATTGTGATATTTCAAAAAAGTTTAGATTTAAAAATTTGATACTTTTTATTTTTTTTCCAATTTTTACAAAGTTTAAATTAGAACTAAATCAAAGCAGCAGTTCAACTAGCTCCCATGTAACACCAAAAATAATTTATAAATATATCTAAGAAACTAAAAGATAGAAAGAAATTAAATATATTATGCTAATACTTACTAGGTTTTGGAAAAACAACTTTAGTATAAATTTTTATAATAGCTACTTTAATTAAATTGATAAAGGCTACAATATTTTGAACTGCCCCCATCCGGACGAAATTACGTATTAAATAGACTAATAATATTAATAACCATAAAAATATTTCTTCTCATAATAAATTTAAATATTTTGAAACGCGGTTCGTGTATCGGTGGAAAGTATGTTTTACTTCAACTGAATATATATGTAGTATTTAAGTTCTCTACGCAATTTAATTATTATTGACAAACCATGTTTAGTACATTTAGGAGCCTTTAGTTTGTTTTTGCTAAAAAGGGGCTGTAGCCTTTCGGGGCCTGCAAAGTTTTTTGGAGTTAATAGGATCGAAGCTGTCATCGAGATGTGGTATTCCAATAAATTCAATGCCAAAGTTAATATGCCTTTCCCGAAGCTGCAGGGTATAATAAATATTATTTTACTTGTATATATTTAGTACACCGTGAATATGTTTTTTCTATTTTTCAATCTACCATGTTCAAAAACGTATACATATAACGATATTATGCAATAAAAAGCAATTGATAAATAATTGCTTGTATACCAATTATCTAAAATATCGATAACAATTTGATTGAATTCATTTAAGAGATTCAAATTAATTAAAAGATTTTTATTGCACAATCTTAAATGATGCTATGAAATAAAAATGCTTAAATTGAACATCGCTCTTATACATAGAATTGCTACGTAGATATGTATATGGAATTCAGAATATGAGATTGAGTTGTAAATAAATTTAAATTTTTGTCACGGTTTCACATTTAAAATTAGAAGTGATTTAAGAAAAGCTAAAGAAATAAAGTGTATGTTGTTATCTTTCTTTAAACGATTTCAATTTTTCAATATTGAATAATAATATCTCATTGTATGCGTTCGAAGTTAGAAAACGCATGTGGACATATCGTTGAAATTTTGAGTAACAGGATTTTTGAATTATTTGAGTTATTTGATGAAAAATTTTTGTTTTAGTCGAAAAATGTCATAGTATATGATGAAGTTGTGTATTTACACAAAAAAATTAAACGACAGATTAAATTAGATTTTTATGAATCCATCATGTTAACGAAACACACCATAATACTGTACGCGAATTATTATCACTTAAAATCC